CTGAAGAGGGTTCTGTATCATCTGTAGAACATGCAGAGTATAGAGCAGACGAGAATGATGATGAGTTTGTGAGTGCAAGTGAATTCTCAAGGCAGACACCTGGTCATCACAGGTGAGTTACTGTGTGCATGCAACTTAGGTTTCCTTTCACTGGTGATGCATTGTTCAATTATTCTTGTAGATTCATGATTTGTAATTTTTTGATGTGATTTTCTTCATTCACTGTATCTATATGGATTATAGTACCACCCAAGAAATGAAAATGCGATTTAGATTCTCAACTTATATAAATAACCACACTATAAAATCAAACAAAGATAACTACAGGCTTTTAATAATATCTCAACATTGTTGGTTTTGGGGCTAGTGATGTATCCTTATACATATGATATAATATTGCCATAGATAATTTTGTTTTTGTTTTTTACTATATACCGAAATGATATAGCAATTGACATATAACATAGATATTATATTCTCTAGATTGTCCTGTAGCACTGGGATCTGAAAACACATCTATTTATGTGTCTCTCTCCTTAAATGGCATTTGAGATATAAATCCTTGAGTCGGCAATTACTCTTAGATGTAGTAGTGTGTTTATATATGACATAAGAACATCAACATTCCAAACCTGGACGCAGCAGGGCAGGGACTTGTATTTGAGTGAAATATTTCTGGGTTGATGTACATGTTAAAAGTCATAAGCTTTTACTAATATCCCAAAATTGGAGGTTCTGAGGGCTGGCAACATATCCTTATATATGATACAATATCACCTATCTTCTCTTCATTCGCAAATACTGAATTGATCTTGTAATTGATTGGTAAAACAGAAATTATATTGTCAAGATTTTCCTGTTGCACTTAGATCTTAAAACAGGTCTAACTTTGTATATGCACACACATACATACCATCAACGTCTTAAAATTACAGGCAGCAAGAATGCGGTTAGTATTTGAGCGAAATATTCTTTGCTGTTGTACATGTTAAAGTTTGTTTCTATTTTTGCCTGCTATGAAGTCACAAAAAGGTTGGATCTTCTTCATTATGTTTATATTTTTGTGTATTTCGATTAGAAAATTGTAATGCTTTTTTGCTTGATAGAGTCATTAACACAATTGATAAAAATGTTAAAAATATGAAAATATTCCTGTGATCTTGGTGATTGTCATATTTTCAAGATCTTGTTTGACTAAAGACAAGGATTTCTAACTTGAAAAACTCTCCCCAAGAACAGATTAAAGTGACTTGGCTGTCTTATCTGGCTCCGATTTTGTGTTACTAATTTTGAATTTGAGATAAATAGAATTAATCTCATTCAAATTTCACACTTAGCTGAGTTCTTTGCTGAAGTTGCAAATTACCTAAATGTTTCAAAAAACATAATTTTTTGTATTGACACGAGGTTGATTTATGGGCAGAATCAACAGAGTATTTGATTGTTTAAGTAAATCATTAATTTTTACTATTTCGATTATTGCAGTCCCTTGCATTTTCTTTTTGATATCCACTTGCTGTATTTTTTGCATTGCAGTTCTCGAAGGCTCCGTTCCTGCTTCTATGACAATTAAGGTAGGCCATGTCCAGGATACCTTCCATTCTCCCAGTTGCTGAATTATTTACCTTAAATGGCTTCTTGGTTATAATAACTGGTTTATAATATATAATCAGATTGTAGGCATCACCTTTTCAACTTCATAAGTCACGGTTTACAATCTAATACATATTTGTAGCCTTGAAACTGTTGTTTGTATCTTATCACTTATGGCAATTTTACATATTATTTGTGACAGAATAGAGTAGACTGTAGCTGCGGGATGGCAGGAAAGCTTTTAACAATATTAGGTGAAGGAAAAGTGCCGGCGGGGTATGTTAGTGCTGCTAATAATGTGTAAAATTGTATACAGTTCTTAAATAAGCATTATCTGCTCAGATTTATTTCCTTTTTACTATCTGTTCCCGTTTTCTCTCCCTTGTTTTCTGCATTTCTGGAGAAGGATTTGATCTGTTGGCTTGCTGTTCAATAATCATTTGTTTTTGTGACTGAATATTTTGTTGGGAGACTGCTCGGTTTTAGATGTATCATAGAAACTTATATTGTTATTCAAAGAGATTGTCATAGAAATCATGTATTTGATCCAATTTCTTTTACGAGCGCATGTTGTCTAAGCACACACCTGGACACGTTCATGTATTATTTATTGTGTATACGCGCTTGCACACGCAGTCTGATATTGATGTACATAATCTTTGCCTTGCATCCATGTCGAACTTGAAAATAGGAGTTGTGCAGTGCAGCTTGTTTATTTTGTAAAAATACTTTAAAATTTTAATAGAATAATTTTGCACGTGTATTCATAACTTTTCCATATTTTTTAACCAACATTCTCCAAAAAATCATACAAAAATTATTCTCAAAAGGTTTACATCAAACACATTCTAAATTGTACAGAGAATCGAAAATTATTTAAATTTTAGAAAACTTCAAACATGTTTCGTAAATTAGTTACTTTTGAGCTTAACCAAACATTTTCGTTTTTATTCATTTTATCCATTAATCTTGCTCTATTGATTGCACGAGGCATATGTAACTTTTATGATAATTCTAGTGTTGATTGCATACTAGTGATTCTTTTGGCTATAATAGAGCATATATGCTTGGCACACCATATTCCATCACAAGTGGGAATTTTGGGACCTCAAACTTTTCGCGTCTCTTTTTGTAAATTTGTGCTTGATTTTGCTTGCTTAAATGATGTTAAGCCATTGCAAAGTTAGTGGCCTCAATGTACTGAACAAAGCTCATCATTTATTTCATTAAGTTGGACCGACAGGAATCGATTACATGACATTGCCAAAATGATGTTTGTCATTTATTTCACTAAAGTTATAATTATTCGATGTTAGCAACTAATAGTTACTTGTGATAACAATCATTTATTAATTGTCACGTCGTCAATTTCTGTTGACGGAATCGAACGAATTTGAAATACAGTTGCCTAATTAACACAAACTGAAAATTTAGTTACTACTGATATGGTTTACGCTCTTGATGCCCAACACGAAGTTTAAGCATTCATCAAAGAGCAATTCAATGACACAACAGAAGCAACTTGGCATGGAAATATGGAAGAAAGCATAGATTCCTTTTGGTGTATCAAAATGCAGATCTCAGCTAAATGCATCAAGTTGTGTGTTATCAAACAGTCCCAATTAGCCTAATCAACGAAGTTCAGAAACAACTGATAAGTTGATGGAGTGAGTGCAGAAATATGCAGATCCTTAATATCAAAAATTTTATCTCAGTAATTTTTAAAACTTATCCACTATCAAAAACTAAAGATGGCCACACAAAAAATAAAAAAATAAATAAAATACAAATTCAAATACCAAAAGTTGCTGACAAGACTAATATGGTCTATTCTTGGGGAGGTTGCGGATAACGTTACTCTTCATACCAATCTTAGAACGCATAGCCTCGACCCCATATTTATTCATTGCCTTCATTACTTCCAATCTAACCACATTTGGTCTTGACTTTTCAGTTGCCAGATCCATGCTCCTAATCCTGAAGTAGGAAAACATTTTTGTTGGAAAAGAGAAGAGGAAGGGGTCCTATGAAGATGGATGCTCAAGTGCTCCATATATTTATGTAACTTGAGTTTAGTGCAGCGGTGATTGCAGCGTCATTTTCAGGTGTTGGACGCGGGTTCTGACGGTAGTATCTTAAAAACTCCCTTGATCCAAGTATTTTGGTTCATGTTTTGCCATCATTTCTTCTGGTTATAACGAGCTCAGAGCCGCCACGACCAAGTTCAATGGTGTTGCTCGTATCATCGACTGCAATAAGCTGCTTCCCATCTGCATCCACATAGCTATATCCAAAAATAACTCTCCAGGTTACTTTCACTAGCAACCATAATAATTTAGTTGTTTTTATATTAAACTGTGATCAAAGAAGCAGAAAAACCTGCTACTGTAATAATAAAATTCCTCCAATTCTGCTTCTTCATCTTCACTACCATCCCCATAATGCACTTTGCAATGACTTTTTGCCTCCATATGCTTCCGAACTGCCTCTAAGCTACCGAAAGAATGACATCTGTCGTTACAATACAGACACATAAAATCCCTCTTGACCTGAAAAATTAGACAGGAAAATAGTATGTTAAAAAAACATACACAAACAGATTGAATAAAAATGAAGATACTTTATCTCAAAAACTTCGTTTTGACAAGCAGCAAGGTGATTACCTTAAGGCCAATATATGTTAGAAGCCCGCGAGGATCCATCAGATACTCGACATCTGGTATGAAGAAGCCGTGCTGTTTGTGCATGTGAACCATGCAGCTCTCCAAATTATTATGTTCTAAATCACACATGAAGCAACAAGAGGGATCCAACACTTCCTCACGAGCTTTGGAACTTCTGTATCCTTCGCTGCAAAGGCCACAGCTATACATCATTGGGGTTTCATCTACTTTCTTTTTCTTTTCTGCAAGAGAAGATTGTCTGGCAAGAAAAAGTGCTTCAGTTACTACTGGAACACCTGCAACCTGATTCACAAGAAAGAACACATGTTGATAAAAATGTAATATCTAGTAAATTGAAGGAAATATTCAGTAACTCAAAATTGTGATATTGAGTTGTGCCAAAAACTCATTGACACACAAAATTCCTAAAGATAGATGAAGATCCAGGAAATCTCCAACGTACATTCAAAATCAGATATAAAGCAATAAAAATAACAGATTCTAGAAAGAGTTTACTAAGCATATCAGCAAAGACAGAAGATGACAATCAAGATAAAGAAAGGAAGTATGTTGTTCAGGCAAAGGAATGGAACCGTCGACTACAAACTCCCCTCTGATAGGATTGAAGGAAATGGAGACAAGATAGCCACCAAAAGAAAATTCCAACATTGAAGCTCCCATTTTGAGTGAATTTACTTGTCATCTACTGTTACTGTACTTCGAATAAGGCCCCCTACAAGCATGTTAAAATAGGAGCCAATGGTTGAAATTCAGGATAACAAATCTTCGATTGAGAATCGTGTTCTTACTTTTATCATCTCTGTAGTTGTAATTTGGTTAATATTTGTTGATTCTAGAGTTTGAATTCACTCCTTCGAAAACAATCGGACAGAATTACCTGAATGCAGGAATTGATCAATAGGATCAGAAATTGTAATTCGAGCCCACCGACTTCACGATGTGTCCTTAAAACGAATTTGCTGCCTTCAATGGTGCTAAAGGCGTCCAGCAATCGTTTCCCAGGATAGAACGAATTTTTCGTCTCCTACGGAAGCAGCACTGCAGTCTGTAGGAGTTCCAACGAACTCAACGAAGTGTTTTTGACTTCGAGACAATATCAGAACGAGAGAGAGGGAAATGAGATTCAAAGCATAGAAAGTTTGCAATGAAAATGGTGTAAATTTTCTGGTAGAAAGGCTGGCTATTTATAGACTTGTTCGTGGCCATTCGAACAGTCATCACCTTTCAGACAAGCCTCAAAAATCCGAACAGACATACTGTTCTTAAAAGTCGTGTCTGTTAAGTCGGTTAACAGTCGGCTAACAGT